CCTAGCATTGTGGAGCTTGACAGCTTGGACTTGACCGGTGATGTTTATTTTGGAAGTGGAATCACTCTCAAGGTAGGCCTTCCAATTTCTACTTCTGCCGTACAAATATCAATTTATTGTCATTTTTATCCTTTGGAGCACGTATCTAATCAATTTCCATACAACTTGCGGTTAAATTTAGACTGACTTTCCATAAAGGACCAAAAGTGAAAGAAATAAAAGTCTGGGACCAAAAGTAGGATAGGAAAATGTCATAATAAAGATTGAACTTTTCTTGCCCGGCTTTGGTTCAACTTTTGCAGGGGAAGGTTGTTATAAAGGCACTGCCACTAGTGAAGATAGTTATTCCCGATGGGACGGTTCTTGAAAATAAGGTAAGAGCAAGATAACCAACGATACTTATTTGTCCTGCAACTTTACTCTTGTGGCTGCTCCAGCCATCATGCGCAGATAATGATCTAACTGTAAGAGCTTTCTATCTTTCTTGCAATGTATTCCCAGGTTATTACAAAACAAGCTGATGTTTGAAGTGCATCGTTGTAATCAAGGTTGCTAGGCAAAAACCCACAAGTTGTAGCCTCCAAAGAGTTAAATTTTTCGAGTTTCCTAATTGATTAATAGCTGCCGGATTGTTTCTGAAGAATTTAACATGCAATACGTGCGGGTCAAAGGTGGTTCAGTTGCAGGACTATGGCGTAACAATTGCAGTAATAAAGTTGTATTCATATTTAATGATAGATTATAAAAGATAAAGTTGTCTTCAATTGTTTAAACATTTATCTTGTAGTACCTAAATCTCTAAACTATCTAAACTTTCCCTTCTGCGGTTCTGCCTCGTCCCAAAATTACCTCTCACTTTACAGGAGATGAGGAGAGCAATATAGCGTCGTTATGTATTGTATCTCTCTCAAAATAAATGTTAGCCACCGTTTTTTTTAAATACTGTCTATGCCGCTCAAATGTAACCTTTATCATTCATCCTTATCAGATACTCAGATAATCAGATGTATGCCGAATCACCCATTAGAATATTAGATATTGATGAACTTAGATTGTATGATAAATTGCGGTTTTATGAATTATGAAAAGGATCCAAACGAGGCTTTGAGAAAGATATGAGGAAGAAAGCGGTGAGTCCAAATGGCATATCAATATAGGCTTAGGGAAGTGAAGAAAGCGGTACAACTGTTTTTTTTGTAAATAATCTGTGCTGCAAGCCTGCAACTCATCTCTAAGGACGATGAAGATGATGGACATCAAAGACTGATCTAAGAAGACGAACATCGACTGTCCAGGTCTCCAACTCGCGAAGCAGACCAAGCCGCCACATACTCCAATCGATTGGCGCAGATACACACACTCCGATCAATTGGCTTCACTTTTGACCTGAGATTCAGATTCTTTGCACCACTGTTTTTGTTTCTGCGCTGGCTTATATAGAAAGAAGAAGGGAAAGGAGTTGAAAACTTTTGTGGATCTGTCATATTGTATTGAAATGAGTTTAATATTAAAGTCAAATGAGTATAATGTCTAAAAGGAATGAAAATACACAGATGAATATTGAACACATAAGAAATGAGTTTTTATTTTAAACTCAAATGAGTGCCGCACCCAAAATGAATGAGCATACACAAATGAGCTTTTGAATTTTTCGATACTCATTTTGTAAGTTAGGTATGCTCATTTACAATCACTTTATGCTCATTTTTAAAGGTTGCACAAATGAGCTTTAAGAAGTGAGTTTTATATTAAAATCAAATGAGTATAAGGCCAAAATGATGAGCATACATAAATGAGTTTTTGAATTTTTTGATACTCATTTTTTAAGTTACATATGCTCATTTGATATTGTTTTATGCTCATTAAAAAATGTTTCACATTTCAAACGCATCATATTACATTGGATTCAGATATTGAAATTGATTATAATCATAATTTAAGATTTTTTATAAACGAAAAAATAATAAAAAGAAATTGAATTAGAAATCACTTATGATTTCAAGTTGATGCTCAATGAAAATATCTTGATGTTAAATTAAAAGTACTTATGATCTTCATATCAATTCTCATTTTATAAGTTATGTATGCTCAGCGGGTAATCATGTTATGCTCATATTTCAAAAGTATCATATTGCATTAAATTCGCATATTGAAGTTCATAAGAGTTGATTATAGATATAATTCAATAAGTTTTTATAAAGAAAAAAATAAGGAAAAGAAAGTAAATTCGAAGAGATGAAGCAGAGATCACGATGCTCATTGTTATGCTTCTAATTTAATGCTCGACAGAATATGTATCATGCTCACTAGACGTGTTCTAATGCTCATTTAGTACAAGACGCGAATTTCATGTAAATTACAAAAATGACACCGACTGTACGGTTCTCACCGTACAGCCGGCTATACTATATACGCTTCCGGGAAAGAGAGGTGTCGAATGGCTAACACATTATTGGAAGGTACTATTATTTAAATATTTAAGAATAAGGATGATTTAAGATCAAGGAGCTAGGTTGATGCACGAGAAAGTGGCAACTGGGATTAAACTCATACAATGAAACCTTGAGAACAAGTTGAGCAAAATTTAAAAAGTGCGAAGAATTTGGAGAATTAAGAGGGTGTTTGGCGAAGAAAATGGACTTTGGGGGAGCTAAATTGGGCTGATCAGCCTGAAACTCCACAAAAAAAAACCAAATAATCATTGAATGAGCATATTTGGCTGATTTTTATTATCAGCTGAAAAATAGCCTTAAAGTTACTTTATCAGTTGATTTCTATCTTTACGATTAAAGGACATTTCTATCCTCTTAAAAGCAAGCTGTCTAGTATGTGCTATGCAAAAAAGATTGCATGTCGATATAAATGACATATAATATACTGACAGTTTTTGTCTGTAGTGAAAGTTTACAAAGTTGTACTACGTATTAGATTTTTTTATGTTTGCATATTGATAGATTATACATATTATTAATGTTTAGCACAACACAAACAATAACTATAGATGACACAGATAAAAATTGCGGCAACTTTCCATCTCTAATTATCCAGAGACTTTCTGTCGACTCTCAACTTCATTTGTTTTTTCGTTCTTGAAAGATGGTAAAGGTGAATTTGATGAAAATGAAAGATGCAAAATGATAGTGAAAATATAGTATACGAAGTATATAGAAAAGAAATAGAAAAAACAAAGAGAGAAGGGAGAAAGAGAAAGGATTCTCTTATGGGATATTATAGATGTCTTCATCATAAAGAATGTCTTCACATGCAGTAAACACTTATGTTCAAAAGTTCAATTTATGTGAAGAATTAATACTATTTTGGTAGATGTAGAGGAATGATTCAATTTCCAAGGAAGGAAACACAATAATAAGCTATGGTGAAATGCATAAATGGTACATTAAAAATTGAAAGTTCAATTTATGTGAAGAATTAATACTATTTTGGTAGATGTAGAGGAATGATTCAATTTCCAAGGAAGGAAACACAATAAGCTATGGTGAAATGCATAAATGGTACATTAAAAATTGATAGTGATGCGTTTTGTTACCTTAACTTTTAAATAAATCAAAACAGTACCATAAATATACGTTAATGTTTCAATTGACAATATTATTCAAAGCTCTTCAAAAAAATCATGTGTGACAACCAAAATTCAATGTGTAAATTCCAGTTCACCTTACTTTTGTCCATGTCATATTTGTACGATAGACTACACAAATTTTGATTGTCATGTAAGAATCTTTTCTGTAAATTTGAGTAATATTGCCAATTGAAACAACTATGTATGATTATAGTACTAATTTAATTTATTAAGAGTTAAGGTACTAAAAGATAACAGTACTAATTTAATTTATTTAAGAGTTAAGTAGCATGTGTGCCTTTGAAATGATATCTTCATCTTTTGCTTACTCTTCACTCTTGACTCCTCCCGTTAAGGCCTTAAGGGGAATACTAATGCAAATAAGCAAATTATGTAAAGAAAGAATGAATACTAATGCTTACCAATTCATTCATGTCAAAACTACCGAGTAAAAAGAAACCTGAGAAAACAAATTTAAAATGAGAAAAGTGTCCGTACATTAAACTTGTCTCCCATAGTAAAAAGGGAAAAATAGTAAATCAGCCCTCTAACTAAATAAAAAAAATACAAATCACTCCTTATCTAGGAGACTCTGTCCGACCATTGCCATTTGGGACGGTTCCCGGTGGAATTTTTTGATGAAACTTTTTTGAGCATCTTCTTCATTAAGACTAGTTTACTCATACCAAATTTCAGCTAAAAACTCAACCGAAAAGGTAGTCAAATGATTTTCTGAAATATACTGTGTTGTTTAACTACGCAGTTATTTTCAAAAATTCATTTGACTGCTTTCCCGATTGAATGTTTAACTGAAATTTGGCATGACTAAACTAGACTTAATAAAGAAGATGCTCAAAAAATTTCATCAAAAAATTTCACCGGGAACCGCTTCACATGGCGACGGCCTGATAGAGCCTCTTATATAAGGGGTGATTTAATTTGCACTTTTTAAGTTAGCTTGATGGCTGATTTGTTACTTTTCCCTAGTAAAAATAGTACTCCCTCCGTCCCGCAAAGAAGTTTCCGCTTTCCTTTTTTAGCAGCCCCAAAAAGAAGTTCTTCTTTCTTTAAATGACAAGTTATCTATATCAAAACAGTGTCAAAAGGTGTCAAACAATGTTGAAATTAAACAATGTCAAAACAATAAAATTTAAGCCCTGATAAGTTTATTTCTCTAATATGTGTGTAGGTCAAAACGAGAACTTCTTTGAGGGACGGAGGGAGTACATCATCGTGCAATGAATACAACGAAGTACCCAGGGGCGGATGCAGTAAGGCTGGAGGGGGGGCAGCTGCCCCCAATAAAGGCCCACTAACCCCTTCTAATTTTTTAGTAAATATTAAAAGCCCAACTATTTGCCCCCAATTAAAAAAATGACTTGCCCCCAATAACCCAAGATCTTCCAGCCCGCCCCACTATGAAAAGAGAACGACGGAAGAAGAAAACGTGCCGCCAAACTCTCTTGCGTGCAGAAGGCTAGGCGATTGGAAAAATTGGTCATTGAGCGAGTCAACGACTGAGCATCTGAGCCTGATTCCAACTCTTCATTCTCCATTTCTCCGACCTCCGTGGCTCCGTGAGTCCGTTCTCTATTTCTCCAAGCGGAAAGAGTGAAGAGCAGAAGAGGTAAGCCTTTTCACTTGATTGGCTATTTGTTTTAATGGATTTCAACTTTTTCACTTTATTTTTTCATCTTTTATCAATCACAAATGTTAGATTTGGAGTGTTGCCCACTTTCCGTATTATGTATTTGTGTAGTTCAATTTTTAGTTTTTATATTAAATACTGTTTTTCGTATTTAACTAATTTATTTAAATGCTGAAATTGTTATACATTTATTAGTGTAATAATTTATAATTATACTATATTACTATTAGAAAGCTGAAAGTAGAAACCCTAAATGTAAATTATACACGGAGTATTATTTTAGGTAGTTAAATAAAAATATAATGTATTAATGTATTAAAACAATTAGTTTTAATTTAACTTTTTTTCCAGACACAATGTATTAAAAAGTCTTAGTGATCTTGCTCGAGTGATGATGGATACAAGGAAACATCTTTCACATCCTTTGGTGTATAAGCTTTTAAAGCTAGCATTGACTTTGCCAGTTGCCACAGCAACCGTAGAGAGGTGTTTTTTCCGCTATGAAAATAGTGAAGACTAACTTGCGTAATAGAATTGGCGATAAGTATTTGAGTGATTGTCTGATTTGTTTTATTGAAAGAGATGTGTTTGAAACTGTTACAAATGAAACTGTAATGGATCTCTTCCAAAAGATGAAAACTCGGCGCGAACAATTGTGATGTATTTGGTAAGACTTTAATTATTGTAACATTACATTAATACTTTATTATTATTATTATTATTATTATTATTATTATTATTATTATTATTATTATTATTATTATTATTATTATTATTATTTTGATGCATTTTTTTCTGCCCCCAATAACTTCTAATCCTGGATCCGCCACTGGAAGTACCTAAACTTGATTTTGTGTTAATTGAGTACACATTTTTTAACTCTTTTCTGTTAAAAAAAGGTGAAATGGCAAAGATGAACCGTTTATTTTTACCTGTATTCTCCCGTTCAACACCTATTCACATCTATTATCCCTAATTACCTTAGGACTTCACTGCATCTCCTCTTCTTTCTTCTGTTAGTCTTTTCTCTTCTCCTGCTTTGCTTTCTTTTTCTATACGGAGTACGTAGTATATCTTATTCTTCTTTTTATCTTCTTATTCCTGCTACATAATTCCTTGAAACTTGATGAGATTCCGTTTCCATGTAAATACAAAGTTGCAATGAGTATAACCTATGTGGGGGTTGTTTGCGGGGTTATTGAATAACAAAGAGCGGGAAGCCTAACAATGAAAAACTAATGAAGGGAAACAATGTTTGGTAGAAGAGGACACACTTGGGATGGTCGGAAGAGATAAAGTCAAAGGGCCTTACGGCCATAAAAAAGAGAATACAATGGGTATAACTAAACCCATCCTATTGCCTCTATTATGACCAAATCCAGTTTCCATTAATTGGGGACTACTTGATGAATAGGAACATATGGGGTGGACTTTTTTAACCGAACCTATTAGCCATCATTTTTAACAGACATACTAAATTGACACTATAATATTGACACATATTCCATTTACAGAATGTGCGCTGTGAAGCGACAGCTTGATAATATTTGAGCAGGCCCTCTCTGTATGCCTGCATAGAACGTCTGCCGCCCCTCTAGTAAATGGAATGTTGCAAAAGATAATTGCTTCATCTATGAGCACCTGCAAGCTCTACACTCAAACACAAAGATGCCACGACTCTCTATTTACTTTAATTTCAAAAGCATTGTCTTTGTCTAAAAACCCAAGAGATGTACACAAAGTTCACGCCTTTATAATCTTGTCAGGCCACCAGCACTCTGTGTTCTTATCCGGCAAACTCATTTCCAGGTATTCAGAGATCAAAGACCCAGTCTCTTCAATGGCCGTTTTTCACTTAAATTCACAGACAAAAAATGTATATTTGTGGAATACCATCATCAGGTCCATGACCCATACTGGACAGTTCTCTACGGCGTTGGAGTTTTATTCACATATGAGAAAATCAGATATTAAACCGGATAACTATACTTTCCCCTCAGTTATTAATGCCTGCGGCAGTTTATCCGACTTTGAGATGGGAACAGTTGTTTATGGGCACGTGCTAGAAATGGGTTTCCAGTCGGATTTGTATATTGGTAATGCTCTGATTGATATGTACGCTAGGATGAATGATTTGGGGCGAGCACGGAAAGTGTTCGATGGATTGCCTAGTAAAGATGTGGTTTCTTGGAATACTCTCATCTCTGCATATAGTGCCAACGGGTATTGGGAAGAAGCTCTTGAAGTTTTTCATCAGGCTAGATTATTTGGAGTGGAGCCTGATTCTTTTACTCTGTCGAATGTTTTACCAGCATGTGGGGGACTGCTGAAGGTCACGCAGGGGCAGATAGTTCACGGGTTGGTGGAGAAGGTAGGAACTAAAAAAGATATAACTGTTAATAACGGATTGCTATCAATGTACTTTAAGCTTGAGAGGCCAATGGATTGTGAGTTGCTCTTCTCTGAGATGACTCACAGAGACACAGTCACCTGGAACATTATGATTTGTGGGTATTCACAGTTGGGTTTATATAACGAGTCGATCCAACTGTTTCTAGAAATGGACGGTTGTGAATGTATTAGACCGGATTTGATGACACTAGCTTCCCTTCTGAATGCTTGTGGTCATGTAAGAGACTTGAGGTTAGGGAAGTATATTCATCACGACTTCATAGTTAAAAACAAATACGAATGCGACATCACGGCTAACAACATCATAATCAACATGTATGCAAAATGTGGTGAATTAAAGGCTTCAAGAGATGTTTTCAGCAGAATGAAATGCAGGGATTCAGTATCATGGAACTGTTTAATCAACGGATATGCTGAAAATGGGTCCTACACGGATGCAATACAACTTTTCAAAACAATGAAGAGGGAAACAGTTCCTGATTCTGCAACTTATGTGACTCTTCTATCAGTATGTACACAAGCGGAAAACATAGATTTCGCTAGACAACTCCACTCTGACATAATGAAGAGAGGATTTGAATCCATTCTGATTCTTGGAAATTCCTTGGTGGATATGTATGCCAAATGTGGACACATCCATGACTCTCTCAAACATTTCCAGAACATGGACTCTCAAGACACTGTCACATGGAACACTATAATCACAGCATGTAGAGAGGATTGTGCTATGGGATTCAGAATGGTTAGGAAGATGAGATATGATGGAATTGAGCCGGATGCCACTACTTTTTTAGTCTCGCTCCCTCTATGTTCCATTCTTGCCGCTAAATGGAAAGGCAAAGAAATTCACAACCAGATTCTGAGGCTTGGTTTCCAATCAGATGTCCCGATCGGCAATGCCCTGATTGAAATGTACTCAAAAAGTGGGTCCTTGACGACTGCTGTGAGGGTCTTTGACGGCATGATGGAAAAAGACATAGTCACATGGACTTCAATGATAACTGCTTATGGAATGTATGGTGAAGGAAAGAAAGCTCTGGGAGTTTTTGATGATATGAAAAAAACACCCGGAATCCTTCTCGATCATATTGTGTTTGTTTCCATCTTATATGCATGTAGCCATTCAGGTCTTGTAGAAGAAGGCCGAACCCACTTTGACCAGATGAAGAGAGAGTATCACATGGAGCCCAGACTAGAACACTATGCATGCATGGTGGACCTATTTTCTCGATCCGGGCTAGTTTCTGAAGCGGAGGAGTTTATTCTCTCCATGCCAATCAAGCCAGATGTTACTATTTGGGGCGCTCTTTTGAGTGCTTGCCGGTCAAGTAGGGACACCAAAACTGCTGAGCGGGCCCTCCACAATCTCTCTCATTTGAATTCAGATGATCCAGGCTATCACGTTCTTGCGTCCAACGTGTACGCAACATTGGGAAATTGGGACAAAGTGAAGAAGATAAGAAAATCTATCAAGTCAAGGGGGATGAAAAAAGAACCTGGATCTAGCTGGGTGGAGATAAACAATAAGGTTTATGTTTTTATTGCCGGAGACAGGTTGTTCGAACAGTATGCAGAGGTTAAGAATCTATTATGGATTCTTTATGGTTTGATGGCTAAAGAAGGTTATGTAGCAGACCTACACAGTGTGTTGCATGATGTGGACGATGATGAGAAGGTGGAGGTGCTTTGCGGGCACAGTGAACGGATAGCCATAGCATTTGGGTTAATAAACACAAAACCAGGGACTCCTCTTCAAATAATGAAGAACCTCAGGGTTTGTGGGGATTGCCATACTGCAACCAAGTATATATCAAAAGTAGTGAACAGAGAGATATTAGTAAGGGATGCTAACCGGTTTCACTTATTCAAGGATGGTACATGTAGTTGTCGCGATCTGTGGTGATTCTTATGGAGGCTATAACTAACAGCGGTTAGCCATTTTAACTTCAAATGTCACCGGGAAGCTAAAAGAGCAGATGCCATGCAGTAAAGAATCCAACATGAGAGTGGGATGGTTCAACATATACAAACAACAGAGATACTCTGCAAGAATCTGTTTTAAGAGGTCATTATGAATGGGAATACCTCGATGCTCACTAGGGCATGCTAATGGGAGTCAATTCATACACTTAACTTGAGATATTGCAGAAAGCCAAAAACTACTGAATCCGCCCCCCAATAAAACAATGCCATATTCACAAAGGTATAACCTTTTAATTTTAGAAAGGCACAACTATTTAAATCATCAATTCTAGCTATATTTTATACCTTATTTGTTGGTTGAATTAAACTAAACATTCCGGCTCACTATATTGCTACACATGCTCAAAGACCTTTCGGATACATATATATGTTTTAAATTTTCCTATTTACTGCTTAGTATCCATTTAGCTATTAATTCTGATTGGTTGGGAATTCCTTTTATCTGGCAATATCTGTAACTATTATTGGGTACGGTCTGCCACTCTGCCCCCCATTCGTTTTTTATTTCCTTCATCAATATATTTTAGTTTTCAAAAAAAAAAAAACTAACCATAGTAGCGTACTTAAAGTTGTTTGGGACCTTCTTTGAAAATGAAAAACATTTACTATAATGATAATTTATTCCTTTTCTTCAAACAGGACTACATTTTCGGGCAAAAACTGTTTTTCAAATGGTTCTCCTTTTTTGGAAGGACCGAGTGTATACAGAGTAGTCGTTTAATATAGGTCTAACGTCTCGGTTAAACATTGTAATAAAAGTATGCCCACTTTTATTCAGGTATATTACTTACCAAATGTTATGCTTGTGATTCTATGAAAGGGTTTTCTTCACACTTCATTGTGTCTCTTCTTTTAGTGAAAAGTTCTACTTTTCTTTGCATGTGCTTGCAGTGCTAATGACATTTTGCCATATTTTATAACTGATTTATAATGCATTATGCATATTGAGTTTTGAAGGTGACCTTACTTATTCCCCGTGATTCAATCTTTGCAGGGCACTGTCATTACAATTGCAGCGCCGGTTGTGAGGACTCGTGCCGAGATAGCCTTCTTTCAGCAGGGAAGAAAGCAGATACAGTTTTCAGCAGGGAACCTAGTATCCTGGAAGAGTAAGAAACAAAGTGTGGTTTCTCGTTCAAGTGCCGAATCAGAATATCGAGCTATGGCACAATCTTCATGTAAGATCATATAGATATGCCATTTAGTGAGTGAAATCGGATTGAAGACACCAATGCCTGCTAAATTGTGGTGTGATAATCAAGCTGCTATACACATTGCCAACAACCCAGTATTTCATGAGAGAACAAAACATATTGAGGTTGATTGTCATTTTATTCGAGAGAAGATACAGAAAGGATTGATCTCTACGGGATATGTGAAGACTAGAGAACAACTTGAAGATTTGTTCACTAAAGCACTAAATGGGATCTGAGTTGGTTATTTATGTAACAAGTTGGGCATGATAAATATCTATGCTCCAACTTGAGGGGGAGTGTGAAAAATATAGAATATACTTTTAGAGTATTAGAATATACTTCCGAATATTTTAGGAATATACTTTAAAGTATTATTATTGTATAGAATCTTATATAGGAATGTTCTATTTGTAATGTATATTTATAGGGACTTACACAACTAATGAAAATCCTTCTCTCCATCTTTAATACTCCGTATCATTTTAGTTTATATTTCAACACACCTGATCATCAGGTTGCTAGTCAACTTGCGCAAATAATCTAACAATTGTATGAGCTTTCTGATTGTTTGTACAGTTAATTATTTTACCTGTGCCAGTATTTTTGGCAAATTACATATATATAATATAATGGTAGAATGGTTATTCATCAGATACGGAGTAGTTTTTAGAAGAAAGTTTGGCAATTAAATATTAGCATTTTTTCTGTTTTCTTGGCACATATAGTTTCTGTTTGTTTTTCCAGCATATTTGTGCACACTTGGGGAGTTGGGGAATGTTTCCTTCATAGTCGAAGCACAAGATGAAGGCCAAGGAAGTAGAGAGGAAGTAGACGCGGCGCAATGGGATACACAAAGTATACAATATAATAATGTATGATGAATTTGCGGGATGAAATAGCGAATTGATTAGTAGAAAATGTTCAACTTTAAGATATTGTTGTGGTAATAGTTTTGAAATTATATAATCGTGCTATTTTTTGTTGAAGTAATTCATACTACAATGAATTTTGAGCATTGAGAAATGTCATTCAGAAAAATATTAGTAAACACACAACACATGTTTAGCACTTGACTACAAAGTAAACAATTAGCTATCAACAACAATGTCAATCTATCTAGAGACACATCTTATTCCAGATAAGTCTTGATGAAAAATAAGAAAAAATCTCGTAGTACATTCTAAACTGGCCTAGTAACTTATCATATCATCAGAACAGAAATTATAAGTTAAAAGTTTTATTTACGAAAAGTATATTATGATTCGAAAAGTAGCCCCTTCAAAATTCGGGAGTCCCTAGTTTTCCAAACGATTGACAGTACAACAAAAAGCCAGTTTGATGGTCTCGCACTCTCGCTATTAAGTTGAGCTTCTCTAGACTTCTAATTTTCAGCGCTTTTTATCTTGGACACCTAAAAAAATGCGCTCCACAATCTCGTTTTATTTTGATCTTATGATGCATCAATACTTTGTCATGCCATGTACACGTATCAGTTTATCAGATACACATTCCATATCGACACTCACCAATACATGTACAATATATTAGACCTATATTCATAATTTCATGAAAGTTTTGGACCCATTTTTAAAAGAGAAAAACTTCTGATAATGGTATACGGTATCCCTAATTCCCTGAATTGGTACGCAACTATGCACATTTAAAACAATATATACACACTACCACACGAGAGAAGATTTAGGGATAATCAAAACTACCAAACTTCCTATTAGTGACCCAAATTTGAAATCTATTTGGTTAAAGAGTATGACTCTAATGTATATTGACAAAAGAATATAGATACCAATCTTCTTATTAATGATCCAAATTTGAAATCTATTTTGTTAAAGAATATGAATCTAATGTATATTGACAAAAGAATATAGATATCGAGTTTGCATTATTTAACTTTAAAGTTTTAAGTATGTGTATAATATTTCATATTTGAAGTCTAAATTTTGAAATTTACCATGATTGACCATTTGATACTCTTTTTGTTTATTTATGAAGTTTTAAAATAAAATTATTTAAATTTTTGTTGCATAATATAGGATACTCGTGTTCTGTATTTTTCGAGTTTGGGTCACCTTTTTGGTCTCTATTTTCACTTTCCAATTTTCAATTTATGCCTCTCTAATGGTAAGCATGCACACGGTCCGCTTCCGGTCCCCGGCCGGTCAATCCTAAAGTAGTTTACTCAGGCTCAGGAGTCAGGACCTGCTCAAGACCGAGTCCTATATTTTTGGTTCCGACCGATTCTTGCCCCCCCCCCCCCCCCCCCCCCAGTATGAACATAAGCGAAAAAAGGACCAGAAGTCTACAAACTAGACTGGAGTGACCGGCCCTAGTCCCAAAAATGAACCCCTGAACCCCAGGATTTGTGCTATAGGCTATAGGGGCCATACGGCTATACCCGGTCTTAGCCTCTCAGCTATGGCCCTGAACCGGAAAAATCCATATCAGTTAAAAAGTCGGTTACCCCGGTTAGTCCCAAACTCCCAATAGGCCAAAATCATGACCTTGTCCACACCTACCTTTTACATTTTCTTTTATTGGCATTGTTCCATATTGTTTTTCTACTCCAGCATCTCATATTATTCTGCTTGGTTTTGTACTTCAAAAGTATTACTTCTATCAGACATCGTTCTCATTCATTATTTTGTACCCATAATTTAGGTCACTATTTGATTTTGAACCCCGATCAAGATGTACAGTCAAAGAAAACACAGCATGAAGCGAAAACTTAAAAGTCAAATATCGAAATAGAAGTGAAGTGTAATTGTGTATATACCAAATATTCCTTTCTAAAAATGGCTAAATATATAAAAGTTCAAACAGATTAACTACCAAATTAGAATAAACAAAATTCACGATAAAGAAACTGCCTGTGGTCTGCTTGACTGCTTCTGCCTCAATCAACATTGTGAATTGTATTGTGCATCCCTGTCATTCCATATAACTCCCAGAAAGACCCATAACTCATCTCACATTACTACTACACTAGAGCTTCCTGCTACAAAGCAGTACAACAACACTAGTATACATGGACAAAGGCTACTAATAAGTGATAACTCATGTATTCTCAAGCTAAAGCTACAACAACCTACCCACTCCCCGCCATTCCCCAGCCACTAAACTCATCAAGCTCGCGCCTTTATGAACTCCCGAAGAAGTTTCTCATAGAAGTCAATCAACTGTCAAATCCATAATGATAATAATTCTAATAAGTTTTTGCTCATCAAACTAAAGATTCAACTAGAAATGAGCATTAGAAAAATTGATACCAGGGAAGTATAGTTCTCCTTCAGAAACCCCTTGTTTGCCATCACCTCTTTCCCATCGGACCTTTACAGATTAATAGTAAAACAGAAACACAACCAAATATTAATAGTCACACATTGAACATTACAGAGAGAAATAAGATTCATGTAAAAACTATAGACATACAACTTGAAAAGCTAGTCATCACAATGCAGAAAGTGAGAAATGAGTTGAACAAACCTCTTAACCACAAAGATTTCCAGAACATCAGTGGTATAATTGGAAGCAGAATCATCAAATTTAAAAATGTCAACAATCTCAGTAATGCTACACCCGTCTTCATAATCTTCTTTAGCAACTGGACTACTACTAGTAGTACCAGGAGCCCTTACCACCTTTTCGGGGACATCATTACTTGCATTGGCCGATAAATCTTTCAGAAACCGTGAAGCAGGACCCTTCCTTCTTTTAGTCTCAATAGGCACAAAATCTCCAGGAACTTGAGCCTGCTCTGAGGATAGACTGGAACCATTGGTTGTTACAAGACCTTCATTTAGCTCCTCCCCACTTCTTGCAGAAACTCTCACGCTAGAAAGCGTATTATGCAATTGATTCCCCATGCTCGAGCCAGACTCATCCAATGAGCTGGTAGCTTGGGCCTTACCCTTAACAGTTTTAGTGGAAAGCTGCCTGCTTTGCCTGGTTTCAATACGAGTGGTTGCATTTTTCTTAGAAGCAGGAGGAGCAGAATGGCTTGTGTTATCATTTGAAGCAGCTGGAGTGGAAGAGCGCTGCTTCTTGGTTGATCCAGTATTGCTAGAGTTGGACTTTTGCTTACGCCCTCGTTTCTTGTACCGTGATCTTGAAGAAAGAAAACTTATCATATTGAGATATTTTCTGCCATCACTATTAACAAATCGATAGAAAATTAATATAGAAGGATAGCAGGAGTATAACCTCTTTTCAAAGGCATCGATGACATCTGGGCATGCTGCCAGATTCTCAATAGGCTCCCATGTGTTTGTGGATTCAGGCCATCCTCGCCTTTTCACCAGCATAAAATCATTGAGCACAATTAGTACATATATTATCTAATCTTCGGATTATAATTTTTTGGACAATGCTCTATCTACATTAGCACCACTTTTAACACCAAACTTGTCAAACTGTCACTTAATTTGACACAGATACTCAGAGACACCAAACTCCTATCACATATATGAGTAGGTGTATATGAACCTAATAAACCAGAAATGCCTTGGTGTCTAGAGTGGTGTTGGCATTACCCTAAAGTTTTTCGGTTTTTTCTATTCTTTTCTTTTCAATAGAAATATTTAGGTACCACCGCTTATAAATTGTAAAATTTGCAAGAATAAATGCAGGTCTTGAGCCCCCCTCATAACAGGAAGAAGAAAAAGAAAGTTCATACCATTTGATCAAGTACTGGACTTTACCCTTTTGGTGTTCCAGGGTTCCAGATTTTCGCAATTGCACAAAAGAAAGAAAAAAAAGGCACAACATTAGTACAATAAATGTTAAGATGAGCAAAATACATTGAAACATATCCCATGAAACATCCGCAGACTGGATAAAAAATAGGATTATTTACCTGACGAATTCGCTTCTTCCTTATAGCCTCGAGGTCGTAAAACCCTTCACCAAGCTGATTTCTTTGGATTTCTCCTACATTCAACGCACCATCAGCGGCTTCTTCAAATCCCTGCTCGCCCATATTCTCTGCTCTACCACTTGAATCTCTCTCTCCGTCCTCTGCCGGAGCAGCAACTCGGTCGCTCTTTTCCGGATGCTGCTGTTCAGAAGGCGCCTGAGCCTCCGCCGGACAATCGAGAGGATTCAGAGCAGGCACGTCATTTTCTCCGGCGTCGATACCCCTGTTATCGGCGGCCAGGGAGGTTTCGATACCAAACGGTCTCATTTTCCCTCCACTGGTTTTTCTGCCCTTGGATTTCAGGAGGGAGGGTTTTCTCATTTTATGGAGTCTTGTCGGTATTATACACTTCTTGACTTGTTGCTGTTTGTGAAAATCACTTCGACCAAGGCACTCTGTCTTGCTTTATACAGTGGTGATGTTTCCTTATTGCTATAATCTCTAGTTAAGTGCTTTTAGTCAAAATAATTGTTTTCATTATCTTCTAAATAAACGTCCAATGAAGTATACGTATTAAAGAAA